GGGTTAAAACTAGATGGTCTTTAAGGTCCCTTCCAACCCAAACTATGCTGTGATTCTATGAAGGGATGTGAGAGTAAAGTCTCCCCTTTCTGCCATCAGCGAGCTCGTGTCAGCTGCCCCTGGACTGATAGCTTGAGACAGTTGTCCCAGACTGTTGGGATATCTGCTGCTGTTCCCAATGCCTTGTTTTGCACCTAGTAATTGTGAATGTCTAATAAAATACCTTTTGTGTTCTTTCTTTCCTATGGGCTTGTAGGGCCAGGAGGACTCAAGTCGAGGCTCTGATAACTCCAGCTATGATGAAGCTTTGTCCCCTACATCTCCAGGACCCCTGTCAGTAAGGGCTAGCCATGGAGAGAGGGACCTTGCGAACTCTAGTATCACCCCACCTTCCCCAGATCTACATGGCATCAATCCAGTCTTCCTGTCCAGCAATCCCAGTCGCTGGAGTGTGGAGGAAGTGTATGGGTTCATTGCATCACTGCAAGGTGAATTTAAGATCCTGTCCTGCACTCCTGTGATCTAGCAGCACGGAGAAATTCATTGTCTCTCTGGAAAGAAAGTGCTATCAGTGGTGCCTGGTGCTTTTATTATACTTGTGTACGTGTTTCTGAATTGGAGTAGGTCATTCAGATAGATGACTTACACTTCTTAAGTGTGTCCTTAGGCAGGCTGTGGAGTAGAGTGGGGAGGAGGGTTGATTAAATTCCTAGCTTGCTTTCTGTATCAGCCAGAGGCGCAAAGAGGGCATGCCCAAGGGACATGATGCCCAGGGCCACAACTGTATCTCAGTGCTGTTTCTGTTGGTTTCACAGGTTGCCAGGAGATTGCTGAGGAGTTTCGGTCACAGGAAATTGATGGCCAGGCCCTGTTGCTTCTGAAGGAAGAACACCTCATGAGTGCCATGAACATCAAGCTGGGACCAGCTCTCAAGATCTGTGCCAAGATCAATGTCCTCAAGGAGACCTAACAGCTCTGAAGCCAGATGTCTCACTTTTGCTCTGACCCCAGGGCAGCTGCCAGCTTTCGAGCATCCTGCTGGGGCGGGGAAGAATGGGACAGTTCCCTGTGGTCTTGCATTCAAGAATGAGAAGGAATTGAACTGACTGAAACTGCCATGCACAAGCCCATGTCTTGGTCTCTTAATGGTGCTACAAGGGGGAAGGAAAGCTCCCACCTGGGGCCTTGAAACATCTTTTCCTTCTTCCCAGTTTTGAGTATGCCTCTCCCGTATACCATGTAAAGACATGAAGCGGACTTCTGTCTTAGCAGATTTCTGAAAGGGAACTGCCCTCGCCCCTCTTTGTTACAGCAGGTCTGCTACATCTTAGGTTTGAAACTCACTGTGCCAGAACTTAAGGCATAGGAAGAGCTGGCCCCGACATGGTCATTGGGAGCAGCTGTGCTTGGGGCACTGAGGAAGGCAAACTAATAAATTCCAAGCGACAGAGGTGGACAAATGAGAGTTTGAGCAAAAGGGGCTGCTGCTGTTCCACTCTTGAAAAAAAAATACCTAGGCTGCTTATGAACTGGGTTTAATAGCCATTCCAGCATGCATACCAAACTTGAAGGCCTGTGGCAATAGGAGCTGCCTTAGCTTTACTGTCTCCTGTAGAGGTGCAGAGTGAAGATAAAGTGTTGTGGCAGCTATTCACTTCAGATGCCTCTCTCTGAACCAGAGGAGGATTTATCCTGAGTACTTATAACAAGGTGATGGGGAAATCAAAAGGGAGGGGGATTGTTTTTCATTAGGGAACCCTGCAGTGCTAGGTTTGTCTCCCCATTGTGCTAGGGCATAATTTACAGATCCAAAGCAGCCTCCAGAAGTGCCAAGGCTCTTCTTAAAATGGGCTGGGTTTTTGGTTTTTTGGGGTTTTTTTTTTTGTCTTCTCTTTTCAGTTTGTATTATTTTTGCGTCTGTCTTCATTATCCTCAGGAGAGCTTGTGGGATAGAGTTTTAAGTGAGCAGGATTGTATCGTCTGCTTCAGTTTTTGCTTTTGGTTGGTTTTTTTGCTATTGTAAAACAAATATTTTTCTTCCTCAGTTAAAAAAACCAACAACAAACACAAAACCACACCCTCCAATAACTAAATACTAATGACCTGATGCTACTCCTCCTTTCTAAGGAGTAGAATTATGTTATAGGCTGAGTCCCTCCTTTTTTTTAAGGACTAAATATGGTATTCTGAAGTTTTCTAACCAGATTACCAAAGGTGAAAACCTGGCCAGAGTTCTCTTCCAGAAGCACCTCTGCTACAATCAGGCAACAAACCTGAAGAAATTACACAAAGCATGAAGAGGTGGTGTTGCCTAGAAGCCAAATACCAGAAAGCAAGATGACTTTATAAACCACATGGCTCAGCTTTTTTTATTTTCACATTTCATGTGAATACTTGAATGAAATGTAAGACAGTTCTGTGTAGAAAGCACCTACTGTTGCAGGAAAGCTGTAGTGGCATGGGAGGAGGCCTAATAGCATAGGTAGGAAAACATTAGAGAAGGGGCTCTTTCTTGACCCACATCAGAGAAAGAGAGGAGGGGAAGTGCTTAACAGATGGATAAAATGTGGCAGCAGCTTCCTAGCCTTAGCTGTACTGTTAGACCTCACTTTAATGACGTCGTTGTTCCTGCAAGAGGAGACTTTGAAGGCTTCTCAAATGAAAATAGGCCCAAAGGAAGCTGCCCAAGCTTGTACCCTGCCAACACTTATCTGGTCTGTTGTAATTGGGGATGGGGCAGGGCCGGGGGCTTAGAACCCCTTAACAGGATTCAGCAGAGAAAAGCTGTCCTTAAAACTGTTTTATCCTTCACAGGCTGGGTGTGATAAAACTCCTGTTCAGTTTGACCCTTGGCAGGTGAGGCAGGCAGCTAACCTGCCTGCATCACTAGCTACTTCTGAGGACTGGATTTTATTTCAGTCAAATGGGAAGGCTTCACTTCTTCATGTTCAATGTTCTTAATAAAAAAACCAAAAAACCAAACTTGTTGAGGCTTTGCAGGTCTGGCTGCTTTTTAACGACCACCCCTCCCCCCCTCTCCTCCAACCTGAACATTTACCTGGCATTTGAGAAGCAAAACCTTCATCAAAAAGTGATTTTGATTTGCTGCAGAAAAATAGAGCATAGGAAATGTTTCCCATCCATAACTGCCTGAGCTTTTAAAGTTTCAGAAGATACATATATCCCTCCCTCTTAAACCCTAAGGGAACTGGAGTGATAGAAGGTGGCAGCAAAAAACGTACTAACAAGACATCTATTCTGGTAAGAGGACTTCAGGCACAAGGCACTGTACACTAAGGACCCTTCACACCTCTGCATAAGATGCTCTTGCACCAAAGAAAGCTCCTATCACAGCACAACAATTCACCAGGTTTTTTGGTCATTTTATTTTTTGAAAGTTGTGTTTTGTACAAAAAAAATTACCTTAAACACCATCATGAAAAAACAGTAACAGACTTGGTGACTTCCTATTTCTTCCATGTTATGAAAAAGATTGAGACCATAACAAAAGTCAAGAAAGCAGGAATTGCTTGCCCACTCTAAACCCACCAAGAAAGCAGGGACACCCCTTTTCCCTCAGTGTCACTGTTCAGACTGCTCTGGCAGTACTGAAAATACATGAACTTTGTACTCTGCTGTTAACAGTAGTGGCTTGCTTATTCAGTCTCTGCCCTCCAGACTGAGGACAGTTCTCTGCCATCCTACAACAGGGCAGAATGGGATTTGCTTAGAGTCTAGCCCCTCAAATAAAAAAACAAGGTGCCAAGTTCCTGAAGGTTCCCATTAAGCGCTACAACTCAGCTGTAGCTGCTTTTCACCTGGGTCCCAGGAGGTCTCTCTCTCTCCCAGCCAGTAGCAGCACATGAGTACCATCTTAAGACTGGTTTGCACCATGCCTAAGGGGACAGTGATATATGAAAGCTGACTGTGTAAGCGCAAGAGTCCCTTAGGTGGTTTTGAAGGTGTTAGCATTCTTATCCTTGGCTTCTATGGTTCCTTTTTAATAAAAATAAATTCCAGTAGCTTCATGGGAAAACCTTCTGCCAAACGGAACTTTTGGAGACGATGAAACTGCAATGCTGACAATGAGTGAGCTGCGTGGGCAGTCACCTCAGGAGGCTTGTAACAGATCTCGAAGTGGCAGCTGCCCATATCATTTTGTCTTGATACCAGTTTCAGCAGATGTTCCCTTTACTTAGCAGGACATCATTTCCTTTTGCTTCTCAACGACTGAGAAGACTGCGACAATATTTTGACTTAACTGGAAAGTCATGAGACTGTATTTAACTCCTCTGTGTTTTTTTTATCATTGCCCCTCTCCAGTCTGAGAAGAGGGCATGCATCCCTTTACATCTGTTGAAGGAAACCAGTGTGTACTCTTCAACACATTGCCATTACGAAAAGAAGTGCTAATGCCTCTTCCACCCCCACGGAGTCTGGCGTAGAGCACTCTGTGCAGGTTATGCTGGCAGAAACAGTGCAGAAGCTAGAAAAGCTGAAAATGCATTTAGAGAAAAATAATTCCAGTGTCTTACAGATCCTGAAAACCCTAGGGGGGGGAAAAAAAAACCCACAAAGACATAAAAAGGATCCCTCCTACAGTCTCAGCTGATTTAACCCATGGCCTCCTTTTCCTTCCCCTTTTCAGCAGACATCCATGGCCCTTTTTTTTCCTCACAGTGATTCATCTCCCACTCGTGCTCAGTGCTGAATGCTCAGAGTGCTCTCTTGCTGTCTTCTACCCAACTCTCAGCACTTCACTCCCTCCGAGCTCTGCTGTGTTTTTTAAATCCTAAAACAGCATTAGATTCCTAAGACATGCCATCAGGGACCAGTGTTGTTCACACCCAGGGACAGCCACGGGACTTGACACAGCAGAGACAGCAAAAGCAAACGGCGTAAAGAAAATCAGAAGTGAGAGAAAGAGAACTGGCTGGGAGGCACCCGGCTAAACAAGCACTGGGGAGATGGGGAGGAAAGAACTAGGTTTTCAACACTGATCACATTGGTAGCAAGTGGTCATCTCGTTCTTCTGACTCCTCCCCGAGCTGGTCATCACCCACACCTCGGTATGCAGCTGGCACATTTCGAGGCTTCGATCGGCAGACAAAGTCGCAGCCATCCTACAAGCACGGTATTGCAATGGAATCAGACCGTATGCAGTTGACTTAGCAACCAAAGCAAAGCAGTTTCTGTGATTTCTCTTCAGCTAAGGGGTTTAGCCTCTCTGCTATCTGGGACAGGTCCCCAAAACTGGTCTCAATCAGAGAAGCACACATGCAAACATCCTACTAGGTCCTGAAAGCTCTGGGCAGGCTGATTAACAGTGTGCAGTGACATCACCTGAGGTGAGTATGGGGGTAAATGGCACCACTTACAGTGACTGAGGGTTTCAGGGAGTCAAACACAAACACTCCACAGTCCCCAGCTTAACTTCCTACCTGGGAAGTGTTAACTATTGAAGAACGCGTGTTCTAGTTTGTTATGTAGCAGTGGCAGGGTATTGGCAGGGAATCAGTCTCAGCAAGGATTCAGAAACAGAGTACTCAAGAAAAAAACAACAAAAATGATACCCTCTTCTGCCTCGAAGTACACCATCCTGGTGGTAGGCCTAACCAAGAGACCCGGTCCATGAAGACAAGGCAGATGTCATTTTCTCCTGTCCTAACATAAGGACAGTTGGAAATATACATGGATTTTCACTCACCGCTACCAAATTGCCCAGATCTTGCCAGAAGGCAAAGTGCGGAAACTGCTCCACACCCTTTGCTCCCACTACAAGGCGCTGATAGAGGAAGCCACCAACAATGTAGACTGCAATCAGTGAAGCGAACCTGGAGGGCAGAATTACACATGAAAGCTGAGGAAATCCTACAGACAACCTTTTCTGAGCCAGCTACCTGCTTCAGATTGGTATTAGTGCAAGTAGCTGAGCACTGCTCAAGAACTGAGCTATAAACAGGGAGATCAGGCCCAGGAAGGTCCCCAGAACATTGTCCTGCTAGTATAAATCAGCAGCATTACATGAAGCAGTACTTCCAAGTGCAAACACAGAAAATGAGTCAAGATTCTTGAATTCCCAGCTCTGGCAAAGAGCTGTCATGCAATTTTAGGAAGTCACGTCTTCTGTGTTACGCTTTTCTGTAAATTAAGAAGGAGGATGCCTACAGGGAACAGAGCAGCTCCGAGGCATCAGAGCTTTTGTCCAAAAAGCTCAGAGGCACAGTAACATCTAATGGGGGCCCTGGATTGGAACATTACAATGATCTAGTCTAGTATAGCATTTTCTATGTTTCCAAATAACACTGGAGATTATGGCCCAGGCTCAAACAGCCCTTCCCACGACTCACGTGATCAGTAGAATGGAGCCAACACTGAGGTGGGAATCCTCAGCTGGACAAGCCACACTGCTGTCCATCTCAAAGAGGTAGAAACAGTCCTGCTCCTTTTCCCGCTATTCCGAAATAATGCTGAATGAGCTCTGCAATTTGGGAAAAGTTAAAGTCATGTGAAAATATGCCCAAGCATGCTGAACTTCACCAGAAGACAGTTTTATCACTGTTGGTGCAGGCAGGCAACAGACACTGGAGAACAGAAGAAAACCTTGCTGCCTCCTCAGAGCCCTTCTACTTCTAAACAACTGTTGGTCTGTCAGTCTCCTGCTCCTCTCCCACTTCATGTGTCACTCACCGCTGTAACTCCCCGCTTGCAAGAAATCATTATCACAGCTCTTCTCTTCTCACCGCTGCAGTGCCTGCCATATGAATCACCTCCTTTATAAATCAGCATGATCCAGTCACCTGCCAAGAGAGAAATAACACAGGCTGCAAATCCAGATCAGGAAGCAAAAGGCAGATGCTGAGTAAGAAAAGTATTGAGTGGGACCTTACTTCCATTGAAGACCTGGGTTTCATTGATTCTTCCTATCACTGTGGTCTTTCCATTCTGTCTATCTGTTTGCACCAGGCCACCAAAATTGTGCAAGGTGCTGTCGACCTCCCTGCACACCCTGAAATGGTAGATGTAGTTTTCCGTTTTGCCTTTCTCCACAGTCACGTTAAACCTGCAGCAGGGAGAGGACAGAACAGATAGCCCATGGGATTACAAAGAACAAGGCTCAGAGCAGTGAACACTTGAGACCTGCAAGGCAGTCTAACAGAAAAGCCCACTCTAGAGTCTGACTCCAAATCTTCCCCTTCCCTCGGCCTAAGGGCAGGCACTGTGCAGCCCCAAGGCCTGCAGAGTGTTGCACCATACCTCATTTGGCTTAGGGGCTCTAGTTTCTTCAGCAGGGCTCTTTCCATTTGTGACTCGCTGCTTTCATCGCCAATCACGTCGCAGCTCCTCTCTTTCAATTGTTCAGCCCCTACACTGACAGCAAGGGCCACAAAGACCACCAGCACAGCAGAGGTACGGCAAGGTGATGACATCCTGTGCACACACCACAGAGAACACAAAGGATTAGCTGCTTCAGTCCTCTGCAAACTAACTTCAGGGTCATGGAGTCAATGATTGGCCACTTCCTCAGTCCTGGCCACACAAAAGTCAGAATCTAGAAACATCTCACAGTTCCCAAGAGACACGAAACCTGAATCTATTGTATGGTCAAAGACAACTGACTGGGCCTGTTTGGGCTTCTTTTCTGAATTTTGCCTCAGGACCACAAAAAACTTTGCTGCAGAGCACATTAATTAGCATTGATGCAGTCAGAGCAGAGCCCTCCAGCAGGCTGAGCACTGGAGTAAGTTTCAAGCACGAGCCATTGTTTGTTATTGCATTGTACCGGGAAGCCAGTCAGCAGAAAATTATTTGTCAGGCCTCTAATCAATCCTCATCACAGCTCTCCTGTGAAGAGCTTTCAGGTGAGCGCCACTGTGATTAGTCAGGCACTGTTTGTTCACATGCTTTAATCTTAGTAATTATGACACCTTTGCAGTACTACTTTAGCCAAGAATATGAAATTGTTTAATAACACTAAGCTGCAACTTCACAAAACAGTTTTCTTCTGTCTACACAGAGGAAGAAGAGAAGGAGGAAATTGAGACATCCTAAGTAAGATCTAGCTGAAGAGACAGTGATGAAGAGAACAGTGAAATCTAGAAGATGTGGCTTTCAGGTTCATGCTAAAATCACATACAGAATATTCAGTGATTGCACCAGCCAACCACAGCGGCGCAACAGATTCCCCTCTGCTTCTCAGTAAAGCCCCAGACGCTGATGTGAGGCAGCTGATGGATCCACAATTAAATAAGCACCTGTCTGCAACGGGAAAAGAGCCTGCTAGAGCGACGGCTCGTTCTGCTGACTCTATTTAACTCCTCCAGCTCCTGTGGACTCCACCG